TGTGTGTGTGTGTGTGTGTGTGTGTGCTAAATAGCATGAAGATTTCACAGAGTGACAGGTACATCTTTAAGCACATGTGAACGCAGGAAAAACACCTTTTTTCCAATCTTTCCCCTTGCTTTTTTCCTTTCCTCTCTGTTTTTTTTTCACATGTATCGAAGGAGAACAGCATTTTAATGGATTCTTATGAAACCCTTGCTGCATCCAGAACTTTAGTAACAAGCAGCTGATGTTTTGGTGAAAAAGTATTTTGTTCATCTGGTTTAGAACTTGTATCAGTTGTTTTCACCAACACTAGATGTTAAGCATTGTCTGGTATAATACTCTGGAATATAATCTTAAAGCAAAGGTGAAAGATACAGAATAGGAAAGAAAGATAATTGTGAATTTGCTCAACACCTCATCTCAAAACCATTGGGACATGCAGAGACCAGCATCTTTTACAACCAGGAACATTTTAAATTAAATTATTCCACTGTTTTTAGAGATTTCATCTCTTTAAAATAAATAGTTGTATTGTGTGTTTACTAGATGACTCAATCAGTCTGAATTTCTTCTCTGCAGGCTGTGTGGTTATCCTCCCTTCTATGATGAAAACGACTCCAAGCTGTTTGAGCAGATCCTTAAAGCTGACTACGAGTTTGACGCACCGTACTGGGATGACATATCAGATTCAGGTAAGACCCTGACMGGTTGCAGTTTCCTTTCCCGTACAYGGACCAACACGTTATGTCTCTGTCACCTGATCTCAKCTTTGAGGAATTATATGTGTCACCACCACAGTTAGCAAAGATTAGCAGGAAAACCAGCTTTGTGTGTCTGTGTGTGACACAGTGTGTGATATATCCACAGAATATATCTTTGGGTACATCTCAGCGGCCATGCCACCCTGTACACGCCTGGGGGTCAGATTTATAAAAGATTGCATGGAAACCATACTAAAAGTGAACGTACGGCCAAAAGGCGGAAATGGCGTANGCAGGCACGAGTCCACTTTCGCTGCTTTTTGTTTTTCTTCCCCCCCGTCCCCCCACGCTCACACTCAGTCTGTGTGTGAATATGTGTCTGAGAGAGTGCGAACAGTGGAAACAGCGTCTTTGCTCTCCACTTACCGGTTCACGTACAGGCAGCACCAGGAGGACGCCGTAGTGCATCTGTCTCAGCATGTCTGAGTGTTCCAGTTCAGACCGGAAGGGTCAGAGGTCAGCGGAGGGTTAAAGGCAGGGAGAGAGTGATGTGTTTCTGCTGAAACCTGCCAACACAGAGAAATGAAAAGTCATCTCTGTGTGTGAGGACAGAGAAAGAGCAGCTTCCTGCTGGTAATTAGTACAATTAGCGCTGGGATTCAGACCTTGTTAGCTTTTAGCTGCTGCTCAGGTGGAAAAATCACATCAAGTAATCAACCATGAAAATCACTCAGGATTCTTTGAGTGTCTGCAGGCGTGTGGTTTCAGGAGAAGGGTTGTAAATGCTTTTCACTCTTCATTTGTGTGTGTGTGTGTGTGTGTGTGTGTGTGTGTGTGT